CATCTGCAAGCGATCAGAAACCTTGGTGGAACAAATTCGGGTATTTCAGAATGCCGGGAGCCTGGCAAATCGAAGCCCACGTGGCTGCAGGTTCAACCCTGCACTCTGCTGGGCGCTGCAAATGAGCAAGCTGACAGTGGAAACAAATCAATGCGCTGTCACCTCTAAATCTACTTAATACACTGGAAGGTTTTGTAAATCAAAGCAGCCATTCAGGCGCTGGGCAAGTGCGACAGGAAGTCATACTAAACAAATGATCATTCATCCGTAAACTTTGATTAATGCGCTTAAATGTACTCCAAGCAGGTATGATTGAGGAAATGAGGCAATATGAAATACAGAGTTTTCCATTTTCTTGAAAACAATCCATGGAGTATGCAATAGGCGGTGTTAATCATCTCCAAACAACCTCTAGACCAACGGAAGGCATTTATAATGACCCCAGGCTCCGATAATGTATGAAGACCAGAGGCTATCGACCCTCACACGCAGCGGGTTATGCTGTCAAACCGGTGGCGCTTTGCCCAACCTGACCCACGACTCTCTCTGTACGCTAATGCGTACCTATTGACATTCCCAAGGACAAGGACACTGGGGTGTTTACACAGTTTTTACACCATGTTACATCATTCCAACCGCTGAGGTATCTGCCCTGACGGAAAAGACTTGGCACCCAGTCTTGCCCTCTGTGAGCAAAAGAACTTACGGCTGCCTTCCGCTCCACAAAGACATTTATTTTCATTTTACTACAGTCCTTTTAGCCTTAATGAAAAAGTACAAAGGAAACAACAGTAAGCATATTGCAAATTGTTGCCAGTGCTCTGATAATGATGTATAAGGTGGTAGCTGAGGGAGACCATAATTCCAATATGTCAGGACTCTGATTTGGCCACAATTTGCATGGTTATAATAGCTTATTGACTGGCTCAAGGTTGAGGGAGACCACGGTAGCCAGCAGTAATGACTACGCTGCATGAGTTTATTTCAAGCTGCCGGGGTTCACTCACCCGAGCCCTTTTGTCAATAAGCAATTTTGATTCTTCTGTGCCCCTCGGAGAGTCTAGGCTAACAGCAACCACTGCCGTTCCCTGCCAACACCCCTTAAACGATTCCTGTATCATGCAAACATTTCCCAAAGAAATCAATACAAGCGTCATTCATTAACCCTTGAAAATCTACAAAGCTCAATGCTAGATTTATTGATCAGGCCAATTGGTTTTCATATGTGTTTGCTACTAAATATGGAGTTCTTGGTATTTGTGTTGTTTGAAAAAAAAAATTACAATTATAGATTGGTAAAGGAAATAGCTTGCCTTTCTAAAGCCATTTTGGGATGGTACAGAAGGACAAACATATCACAGAAGAATTAATATATGAAACTATTTACGTCCATCTTGCATTCATAGTGTCAAACTGGTATGCATGAAAACTAAAGCAGACATAAAAAAAAACATCTAACAGACATCTCAGTGATGCCTGAAGCAATTAAAACAACCAACAACGTTTACAAATAACAATTTTGTCCTATGCAGGCAAATCATCAATCATCTCGAGTAACAGATGGAAACCTATAAACTTTAATCTACATACCTGTAAGTACACTTTACATACCCATTACTTTTTACTTGAAAACCTGTCAATTAAAATATGATTTTATTGTATTAAAAATGAAATTATTAAATTATATGCTACTTAAAATGACATGTATTCATTTATTTAAAACGTGTATTTTCTTGAGTGTAAGTGAATGGATGCCTGTATATAAAATCCTGTCAGTGCAGATGCCTCACTAAACAACTTAAAAAATACAACTGTCTTTTTAGATGTTTTTTTTTGTTTTGTTATTGTCTGTGTAACACAGCAGCAGAAACAACACTAGTAAGGTTCTCTCTTTATTTGTGTGTTTTTCTGTGTGACTTTGATTATGTGGATAAAAAAACAGCAGAGCTCTATATATATATATATATATATATATAAAACACAAGAATGCCAGATTTGTTCTGTACATATGGATACAAAAACTTATGGGTGCTTCTTCATTTAAGACATCTTATGACCCAAGGGTTAAAAATTGTATTAAAAACACTTTTTTACCATCCCTTTATAATTTATTGTTCTACTTTTTAATCAATTTCATTATAGGCCTTTAATCCTAAACAGTGAAAATTTATTATAAAGAATATTACACTTTGCTAAATGTGATAATTAGTGAAATAATTGCTTTCAAAATTTATGCTGTAAAAATCATTTAGATCAAATTTTAGACATCGCTCAAGCATCATTTATCAAAACTAACAATTTAGTTTTATCAAAGGTTAGTGTACTTTATTACCAAAAGACTAATTGTCATTGAGGAGCTTGAGATCAAATATGAAAATGTCAAGACAAAAAAAGGTCAATAATTTCACTGAATATTTAATTAGAATATTTTTTATTTTTTTAATTGTGGAGTCATTTCCAGTAAAGCTTTATTTTTTCAAGCTATGCAAAACTTTGAATAAAATAAGAAAAAAGGCAATTTTTTTCCAAGGATGTTTAAAGGGGTCATATGATGTTGCTAAAAAAAACATTATTTTGTGTATTTGGTGTAATGAAATGTGTTTATGCGGTTTAAGGTTCAAAAAACACAAAAAACACAACGTTGTGATTGGCCGAATAGTGCGTTGTGATTGGCCAAATACCTCAAGCGTGTGACGGAAATGTTACGACCCTTACCATACTGTGATGCCATGTCCCGGCGCGACAACACAAAAACAATAAAACCCATTGCAAACAAGGCATTTGTTGCATCCAGTGGGGACATAATTACTGATTATAATGACTTATACTGTCTTTTTACGCATTGCATCGCGCCGTGTAAACATAAAACCATGTCTGCATTTGTGATCAGAGAAATGACAAACAACAAGTCCTACCCTACACTGCCCAAAAAACTCGCTTTAAATATATAAAATATAAAAACTCTTTAAATATAAAAA